GGGAACATGAATCAAATATGTATCTTTATTCATTTACAATAAACTCATAAAGTACATCATTCTGATTGAAGCTAAGGGCATACAAAACTGTCTAACACCATTCTCATGCAAAGTTGCATGCCCAGACCAAACTATTCTTAGCCATTCCATACTCAGACCATATTTTGGATCATCAACCACACAAGATATGAATTAATGCTCATGCATCAGAGAGTGTGATGGGTTAGATGCTTACAATCTTATTATTGTTACTCAAGGAGTAGTAAAGCATCTATCAGGAGATAATAAAGAAGAAACCAATAGAACGAAAATTAAAATGTCCTTTGTTTGTCCAATAGGACCTAGCTCATAAATTAATATATAAATATATGTCCCGGAAATACTGTAAAACCCATGAACTAATTTGATTGCAATGGCTCCTTGGTCTCCCAACATTATCCTAATGCTGATGCGCGCTATGACGAGATTAATGGCCAAGCCCCCGAAGATGATTGGCTGCAAAACCATATTGACATGTTAGTTTTTTCTGTCAAACTCATTATATGTAGCGATATATTTTATAGCTAAATCTTCTGCTATATACACAAAAAAAATAAATAAAGAATAAAAATGGGCAGCACTTGATAAAAGGATGGAAATGTAGAAAACATACTCAATCATATCTCCCCAGTAATTGGTGGGTTCACAGTCCAGATTCAGTTCTCCCCAGGCATCAAAGGTAGTTGAGGTGGAAGGGGTGCTCTTTGCTTCCATTTTAGGATCAACTGAAACCAATGGAGGAATAATGTCCAGAGCAGAAATGTCATACGAGCTGCTTATTAAGTTTTGATCACTGATACTACTCCCATTACTGTCACATAGTGTCGACCCAAATCCTCCCAAATAAACTGAGCTGTCAAGAATCTGATTATAATCGTTAACGTTGGATGGCTCTTGGATTCCCAAATTTGTAGAGGTAGTGGAAGGCATGTGATGAGTATGGTGATCATCAGGACCCGGACCAAGAAGGTTACTCAGAAGTCCTTCCAATTGGGCGTTGGACCCGGCGTGTTCTGCGAAGTTCTGACCCTGAAAGGAAGCTGATCGCAGGAGGTTAAATGGATTAGAATTTGGAGGCGTGGGGGTATTCATGTTCGCCTGCAGCAGATTCTGAAACAATTGGCTTCTGGCTAGCTGTGCGGCCTCTGCCTGTAGCCTTAGAGAATTGTCCCAGGAGCCCATCAAATTGTTAAGATTTGCAACAGCGAGAAACTGAGGTAGATTTGCGAGGAGATTGAGATCAGTTCTTGGTCTGTGGGTTACGGGGTCAATACCCATTTGGAGGAGTTTCTTCCTTATATGGGTGTTCCAGTAATTCTTAATCTCGTTATCCGTCCTCCCTGGGAGTTGGTTTGCAATCGCAGACCACCTGCAATTGAAGAGATTAAAGAATTGATTTACATGTTACGTACTATCGCCCAATAACCTCAAAACAATATAAAATTGAGACAACATAAAGATAAACAGAAGTTCAATTACTTGTTTCCAAGAACTGAGTGAAGGTTGATGATGATTTGCTCTTCCTCGTCTGAGAACTTTCCTCTCCTGATATCAGGCCTTAGGTAATTAGTCCACCTTAGTCTGCAACTCTTCCCACATCTGTTGAGTCCTGCGAGCCTGGGGAGTGCTCTCCAGCTTCCGTGGCCATGTTTCTGAATATATTCTATCAGCTTCTGATCTTCCTCGGGCGTCCATGGCCCTTTCTTTAAACCACTATCATCGCAGCAAGGAGACCTCGCCATGGTATGTACCTGCAGACGGATAGAAAAAGCAATTTTCAGGGAAAATTCCTAATAAGTTTAAGTGGGGATGTGTTTTGATTACAGAACTGTGTCTCCTTGGCTAATATCGCAGTGTAGTAAGCAAATAGCCGGACAAACATAAAGGCAAACCAACCTGAGAATCTGAAATAGGTTTTGGATTGAAGACAAGGAGAGGTTTACCGTGGAAAAATCTATGAGAGCAATGTTGGTTTTATAGTGTCTTGATACGTGCCAATATAACGATTAAAATTGTTAAATACGCATGTCTGAAAGAACTCAGATATTTTAATTAGTTAATTATGAATTTGGTATTCTTGTAAAGTTGTAATTAACTAATCGCAGAGTCTTCAATGAATTCAAGGTATTGAAGGGTTATACCTTTGGCGTGGGGTTTTCAATTTTTTTTTTCTTTTCTTAAATCTTAATCTTAAAGTTGCGAAGCCTAAGAGAAGGCTTGAAACTTAAAATTAAGGTGACGACATTTATACTCTGCAATTGCTTTTTTTCATTGTTTTTAATAAAATAGAAAATATTTATCTGAGGTCTGAGCTATATATAATGTAAACAGAGCCACCCAAACGCACATCTGATCTGACCCTTGGCTTAGGCTGCATTTGGTTGCAGTGCAATTTCATTTGCACTAGTACAAATGCATAGGAGTGCAAATGAAAAAAATGCAAATTTTGATTTAATTTTGTTTAGGGTTTTATGATATTCTAACTTCAGGTCTTTTTTTAAGTCATTTATACGAAATCAAACAAAAGAAGGTAAGGTTTGAAATAAAAATTAAATAAGAATTTATACCCAAATCATTTATACTATCATTGTTTTGCATTAGTACAAATTTATTTGCCAGGCAACCAAATGCAGCCTTAAAAACAGATTCAGAACAGCCTTAGAAACCACCCATGAACAAAAAAGAGACTACGTAAAGGAAACCGACAACAACATAAGATTCAACTCAGAAAAGGTTTCGTATGTTTATATCACCTTTTTAGAGACAAAACCCTCCCCACAATATTTTATTCAAAAGATAAAACAAGTTAGAAGTAATAGCCTAATAGGAAAACAAAAGGCAAAAATAAAGTAAGATAACAAAAATAAAAGTAAATATAAAAAAAATAAACAATAATAGAAAAATATTTCTTCTCATCTATTTTATTTTTGTTTTTTTATTTTCTGTTATTTCAAATCTACATTTTTATTATTTCTTTTCTTTTTGGTAAAACAGATATGAGGGTAAAAGATGTCATTGTATACCTCCATTTGCCGGTATTTAAAGGGGGGGGGNGGGGGGGGTAAGTTGGTGACTTGATAAGTTGACCAAAATACCCATGCTCATTTGCCACTATATCGGGTCCCACAGTAATAAAAAATAGTTGAGAATATCAGTTAGTTGGGTAAATATTTTACCTGCGTAGTTGTTGGTTGTTGTCGATAAGTGTTTTCTCCCTCTCTTACCTCTCTCTTTACATAGTTAACTGGTAGCATACAAAAACATTCGAAATTTTCTTACTCAGCAAAATTTATTTGGAGAATAGTTGCATGGACAAACACACTTATCCACGTAAGCCAAAATGAACAAGGCTCAAGAGAACCCGCAATGAATAATGCAGTCACAAGGTAGAGGGGATGTCCTAGTAAGTAACACACAAACTATAGGCTAGGTCCTACAAAAACTAAGTAAACTATAGGGGGGATGTATTAGTAAATTACCCCTTGTTTTATTTGCTTGTATGTTCAAATAAACAAAGAAAACGACTCATATTTGCCTCGTGGCAAAAGGCTTGGCAAATAATTTACCACATGTGATTTGTTGAAAAATTAGATACATACATGTAAGGCTGTCACCTAAACTGAAGATGAAGCGTAGATGAATGAGGGCTAGAAGGAACATATTCATCAATTAACAGGGATAGATCAATGGGTAGGTTGCCATGTGGCATCCAACAAGAGAGTCAAGAGGGTCATCAGTTTCTTCACAAGGCACAATGGAGAAGAAACCACCCACTCTGGTTTCTATATTTGATGTCGTATATGGTGAACTGAAGCATCCCAAGACACGCAAAAAATCTAGTCTTATATATTACTGGATTGGGTCCATTAAGCCCTGACGACATCCTCCTCCAAAGTCCCAACAATATTCCAATAAGAAATTTGTATCTAAAGGTAATGGCATGGATGCAATATTTATTACTATAACAATTAACAAATACCAAGTGGAGATTTGAGTCTTATTAACAAATACCAAGTGGTTGCAATATTTTATTTATTACTATAACAATTAAATAAGGCATTAATTAAAGTAATGGGAAACAATAATAAGTAATTAAATAAACAAATAAAGATCTTAGTTAATTTCTGCTTAAACCCATTAATATAGATTTGTTGAAAGGAAATTTTAGGTCAAACTTCTTATATAAGTAAAACTAGGAATGTATCTCCTTTAATAAGAATCCTTATGCAAATTTTCACTAATTTCAGATATTCTAAGTTAATACATCACCAGAAAAAGAGGAGAAAACATGGCATAATATATCTAATGTAACAACTGACTGCATGGAAGAGATGAATCATGTCTTCTGCATCATATATATGTGAATTCTATATATATATATATATATATATAAACAGTTGTTTGGTGAGTGACATGGGTATTTTTTTCTTAATATTGCCTTGTATATAATATTTGTTTATTTATTTCTATGCTAGGCTCATAAGAGCTAGGAAGTAGTCGGCATTTGCTTTTGGCCACCTATTGCAAATTATATGATAATACAAACCAACTTAGTTTCACTTAAGCAGCCATGTACGAGCCATGGCCTATAAGTTCTTAGGATTCGACACATATGGTCTTCACTCTCCAGCCCACCCTAATTTAGACGGATGTTTTATGCTGTCTAGCATTTTAGTTTACTGTTAATTAAGCATCCCAACCTTCTTGTTAATTATTGTTAAGTCCCCATCGATGAGATATATATATATATATATATATATATATATATATATATTTACTATTCAATGTTTAGGCCATTGTTAGATTCATAATTGTCAGTCATCATTCCTGGTGAAGATGATGAAAGGGGGGTACTTCTCCATCATGAAAAGATCACAAAATCTGCCCAACATAGGATATACCAAGAGAACCTAAATCTTTGTCCTAATTGAACCCATAAAAAAAGCAACCTTCTCATACTAGAAGAGAAACAAAACATAAAATATTGAAGGCATCTTTATGGCTGAGAGAGTTTATATGGTAAAACTAATGTGCAATTCAAATTTGACAAATACTCGCTATATAGCGCAAGAAATTAACCAATTATAATTAACAAGTTAATAATTAAGTAAAGGTTAACTAAGAAATAACCAAACGGTCACCGTTGAGAAGGACCATTCAATTTTGATTCTCCAACCCAAACAAAAGATCCAAATTTTGAAATCATTCGCATGTCTAACTAGGCAAGTAGTTAAGTAGAAAAATAATGTCAAAGAAATCAGTAATTAATTAAGAAAGAAAAAGAGATAGACTGGTCGATCAAGAAGGCGAGCTTCATCACTTGACTTCTAATTTGCAGCCCTATTTGGTAGCTAGCATGAAGTATCAGCTTTCTTCCCTCAGTTCACTCTATCAGGTGTGGTGAGTTATATATCTTAGGCTCCGTTCGCTTTTTGGTAAGTTATTTATCCAGGTAAATGCAATTATCTGAGTAAATATTTCCTAAAAATATTTGTCCGGGTAAATGCATTTACCCATGTTCCTTTATTTCGTAGGTAAATATGGCAATGACCATTTTAGTCATAAAAATCTATTATTAAAAGTGGCATTTTTGTTCCATTCAAGTGTTGGCAACCTTCCCCTTAGGTGGGATTGTGGGAAAGTTATTTACTCACCTAGGAAGGGGTAAGTGATACCCAGGTAGCCAGGATAATAAACATTTCTTGGTCCCCATATAAATATAAAAAAAGAATATGGAATTTTTGATCAATGAAAACCAAAATCCTATTGACCAACTTTCCCCCTCTCAAAATCCCAAAAAAGAACGCCCCCTTAGAGTATGTCTTATATAAAACATATATTTAGGTTTAAACATAAAACCATAGAAAATACAATAAATTTTGGACCACATAGACCGGAAGAGATGTAGGACCTGCTGTTGTCAATTCACTTCTAACAAGGTAGGGCTGTCATATCTCACTTCTAACAAAATAAATAAATAAACAGACATGAGTCAGTTGTCATATATTTAAAAAAAAAAAGAGTCAGTTGACATATATCAGTAAACAATCAATTATCTTTATAATAGCTGGGCAAATGGGAGATAAAATTGTCCCTATTTAAAGGCCATATGATGTAGTTATGTCGCTAACAACATGGGGGCCACATGGTGATACAGTCAAGGGATATGATCATCTAATTATCCAGAAGAGGGGTTGGCTGTTAGGGTTATGGTTTTCTTGTCTGACTAGCTTTAATTAGTTTTATTGGTGGATAGTTATCTTAATTAGCTAGCTAAGAGTTTCTTGTACTAGATTAATTACAGCAGTGTTGACAACGATCAATGGTAATGGAGGATGCAAGTTAAAAGGGGATAATTAGTTTCTATCCTGTTTTTTTTTTTTTCAAATCACAATAGAAGAAGCACTAAAATTAATGATCCTGGTTTAAGTTATCTGTGTGTGTTTTCAAGACTTCAACGTGGAATTTGGATTTGGAAATAACAAATGATAATAAAAATGTAAGCTCTTGCTTTCGAAAAAAAAAAGAAAACAGAGGGAGAGGAATCTTAGAAATTAGAAGATCTGATATTGTCTCCTCAGTCTCAATTCTCAAGTGTGTTTAATATATACTAGTCCATTAAGAGAATTGACCCTCCTACTTGCTTGTTTCTGCTTCTGCGTGTAAGACAACGTCATTTTCTTCTGAGGCTTTGATTCCAACTACCCTTTAATATACATGAATATATTCATAATTCAACAATTACAGGTTAGTTGCCTACCGGCAGATGTTAGTCTGATTGAAACTGAAAACCCAAATTTATGCAACATGTTTGTAGAAAATGTCTCCTTGTAATATTATGAAACAGTGGTTTCGTTATCTTTCACAGTAAAGAAGATTAGTTTAGGCAAAGGATCTGGGGTTTCCATGAGATACGACTATTAAAAAAAATTGAAACAAATTAATGCCACGCATTCATGATTCATGGGAATTTTAATTTTTTTAATCCAAATAGTAACCAGTACTCGGAATTTGTTTTATGCTGTACAAGATGATCTCTCAGCAGATCTTAGCAGATCAAGGAGTAGTAATTTTTTAATGCTTCCCAATGATCATTATACAACTAATCCCATTTTGTTTACCCTTTAAACTGTCAAACTAACAATATGTTGAAGCCCTCTGTCCAGTCCTGATCATTGGTCAAAACATTTCCAGTTGTGCCTTTCCACTTATTTTGACCCATGAAGTAGATATGGCAGGACGCCAAATTGTCTTCCACCAAACATATTAGGCCATTATAGTTACGTGGAATTAATCTATGTTTTGGAAAGACATGATACCCAAAGAGCTTTGACCTGCCAATTTTGATAAATACCATGTGTGATTGATTGGTTACAGGTTTTTTCGGTATCATATGTTTTCTTTTGGTATTATATGCTTTGACATGCAGTTCAAAGAACTTGAACTGTACCAGATATCAGATATGAAGCAAGGATTTCTTTAGTAGGTGTTTGGCATGGATTCAGTTGTTTCAGAGCTATTTTCTGAGAAAACGGTGTTGTATGGATGAGAATGTTTTTCAGAAAATGGCTCCTTTTTTTTTGTTTGGCATTGATACTGCCACATAAGATGTTTTTTGGGGAAATAGCACTGGTTTTGTTTGGTAGCAGTGCTGTATAACTGTTTTCAACATTGGTCTACATTATCCAACTCGTCAGATGACGCCACATAGGTGCCACATCATTGTACCATTGGCAGCAATGGGATGGAACTTCAAAAAATGTTGAGTTTGACGCTTCCTCAGACCATGACTTCCTGATTTCCAAGGCATAGTCTAGAGCAACATTTGTTTCTGAAAAAATGGAACCAAACATGAGGCCATTTTCTGGGACAGCGTTTTTTCTGACATGGTTATGATGTGGTGCTGTTTTATGGGGCAAGGGCATCAATGCCAAACACCGCCTTAAGAGTTGGGCTAGCCAGATAACCAGGTTGGGCTTTGTAAGGCCTGGCATTAGTTCTAAGAGTTGGGCCTGCATTAGCCCCAACACTTGGCACTTGGCCCAGCACACCCAAGTTTTACCCTTGCACTCGGTCACTAGTAGTGTAAGCATAATCCACCCATGCAGAAATTCTTCATTGTGGCCCATAAGTTGGTTTGATTTGCAGTTCGAGTGATTTGTTTTAATTTTATTTTACATAGATAGTAGGGTAGTTAACTAGTAATACTATTTAGATGAGAGCCCAGGCCCATTCAAATTTTAATAAATCCACAGTCCGGGCCCATTCAAACTTTCTAATCTCGTATATTCCGGCATGTATTCAGTATTCTTCTTATTTTTCTGAGAAATTAACAATAACTGTTGTTCATAATTCATGCACGATATGGTAAAGAAGAAGATACAGTGAAAGAAACTACAATATGAAACAAAATAGGCTCATAAACAATACCTGTACATTGGGCTACAAAACCCAATCAAAAGTGAACACTTGATGCAACCAGTACTTTACTCCTGATTGGGCTTCGTAGCCCCTTGTACATATCTTGTATGTTGGTTAATTTGCTACCTATCTCTGGACTCCCTTCATAATTGACGAGGATGAGGAGGGTATTTTTCTGCCATTGTAGAGCTATTGTTGTTGCTGCTGTTTCTGTAAGCTAATCAACTTATAATACGCACCATTCTTGTCCTCAACCAAAGTAGAATGAGTCCCTTGTTCTATGATCTTTCCATCTTGAATTACTGAGATTTGATCTGCATTCTGAATGGTAGACAATCGATGTGCTACCATTACTGTAGTTCGGTTCTTCATTAGCCTGTCGAGTGCTTGCTGGACAATACGCTCAGACTCTACATCGAGGGCACTGGTGGCCTCATCAAGTAGCAAAATCGCTGGATCTTTGAGAACAGCTCTGGCGATGGCCACCCGTTGCTTCTGCCCACCAGATAGTTGCACTCCTCTTTCTCCAACCTTAGTTGAGTATCCCTCAGGAAGCCCACTGATGAAAGCGTGTGCATTAGCGAGCTTGGCAGCCTGGATAACCTCTGCCTCTGATGCTCCCTCTTTTCCATACAGAATGTTCTCATAAATGGTCGTAGCAAACAGTGCTGGTTCTTGTTGGACGAGGCCGATGTGCTTCCGAAGGGACTTGAGCTTCAATTTCTTAATGTCTTTTCCTGTGAGAGAGAATTTCATGCATTTATATGGGGATGAGATTATTATCTTCATGGAATTAAGATCGATCATCATCTGGAAAGTGGAAACACTTACCGTCAATCATCACCTTCCCAGATTTTGGATCGTAGAAACGTAATATAAGCGAGATCACAGAGCTCTTGCCCGACCCACTTGCCCCTACCAGCGCCATGCTCTTACCTGCACGAACCCTGAGATTGAAGTTCCTGAAGATGATAACGTCTGGCCTTGATGGGTAGCTAAATTCAATGTGCTTCAACTCAATCGAGCCTTGGACCTTGGTCACCTCCTCTCCGACGTCTCCCACAATCTCGGTCTTCCTATCCAGCACTTGGAACACTGAAGCTACCATCTGGTTCCCCTTTACGATGTCCGGCGCCAGTGCTAATGTCTCACCCATAGCCAATGCACTTACTATTAAAATCATGAATGATTTAATGACTGATTTGAAGCTGACCATCCCCTTCCCCATCAAGACAGAACCATACCTGCTTAGATTTTGATCATATATATATGTAGTATAATAAAGCAAGGGCATAGGATGAGGCTGAGTTAGGTTGAATTGAAATCAAATTTGATTGAATTACATACCACAAAGCAAGGGCATAGGATGAGAAGATGAAAAATTGTGAGACACCATACAAGATGCCGGCAACCTGGCCACGGCGGAAGGCATGCTTGCTTGGCTCATCTAGCTCTCGTGCGTACAGATCAATGACCTTATCTTCTGAACAGAAGGCAGCAACAGTGCGGATGTTCCCCACTGCCTCGCCAGCAAGCATGTTAGCTTTAAGATAGGCCTTATTCAAATCACCGCCATAGCCTTTCATGAAGAGTTTCTGCAGTCATGCATGCACATGCACGCATATATGATCATAAGAATTTAAAGCTCAGTTACGTTAATTTTTTTCATTCATCTAGAGATGGTCCATAGTAATAATAAGCATATATATAACATCGAAATCGAACTAGAGAATAATGGCATAAAATGATAAACCTCACTGATGTGTCCGCTAACTATCAAGGGAAAAGTGGCCAGGACAACAAGCGTGACTCTCCAATTCAGATTGAAGGCAATGATGAATGAAGTGAAGATCATAGATATATTCATTATAAGGATTGTCGATCGATCAACAACTATAGTTCGCAACAGAGTTGCATCGGATTCTAGACGTGATGATAGCATCGAGCTAGTATTACTAGTATCATCGAACCATCCAATTTCGTTTCTCAAAATGGCTGAGATAAGAGAAATTAAGAAGAGATCATCAGTCGTCTATATATCAACGTGATTTGGGCAACAGAAAGGCTGTTGTTATTTGGTCCCAAAAACTCAAACGGATCACATATTAAGCTACCTGCATTGGTTTATTTACCTGCAAACATCTTCTCCCGCACCCGAAGTGTTAGCCGCTCACCGATGATCCCAAAACTAAGATGCTCAATTGAGTGAAAAATGATAGTGGCAGCAGCACCTCCACAGAAGAGGAATGCTATCTTCTTGATTTGGTGGCGCGTGGTGTTCCAGTCCATGTAATAGGCAACTAAAGCCTCTGTAACTCCAAGAGCGAAAAGCGGCATCTGGGCACCGGACATAATTGCACCAGTGACGCCATAGATAATATAGATCCAATCAGGAAGCACCATGGAAAACATTCTTCTCATGGAGACGGGCTTCTTCTTTTCAGGCTCACCATCTTCTGCAACGTAGCGGCCAACGGATTCCTTATCAGAGCGGAAGCTGGCGCCAAAGCTTGTGGTTGTGCGGGACAGTTCTCGTGAAAGCTTTATGCTGCCAAAATTCATGAGTTGCATGTTTAAGATTGTAAGTACTCAAGCATTCAAGTTGATGGGGGTGTTAAATATGAAACCCAGTTGAAGTTTGAAGAGAATGTGTTTTTTAACTCCATCCATGGATGATTGGATGGGATGGGACATATATATAAGGAGCCCAAATGAACGTTCAAGTGTTGGTCAAGGTACCTGAGTGAGCGCCCCATGGAGTCTTGATGCTGCAAAGGTGCCGTCTCTTGGAGATGCACTAGAGATGCATAGGCACTGTTTGGGTTCAACATAAGTTCTTCATGGCTTCCACTCTCCACAATCCTTCCCCCTTGAACGACAGCAATTATATCGGCATTTCTAATGGTGGAGAGCCGATGAGCCACCACAATAGTTGTTCGTCCAACCATCAACCGATCAAGCGCTTCTTGCACACTCTTCTCAGATTCAGCATCAAGGGCACTTGTGGCCTCATCGAGGAGGAGGATTGAAGGATTCTTCAGTATTGCACGAGATATTGCAATTCTTTGCTTCTGTCCACCTGATAACTGTATTCCTCTCTCGCCAACCTGCAACCATGCATGAGCGACTGTTATATTAGAATGCTGTCATTTAGCAGGATGCATGATCCTGCCATCATGAACGACTGTTATATTAGAAATCATATACCTGTGTCTCATATCTATCGGGAAGGTTGTTGATGAACGAAACCGCCTCTGAAAGCTTAGCAGCTTGTGTTATTTCCTCCAAGGTGGCATCATCTTTCCCATATAGGATGTTCTCACGAATGGAAGTTGCAAAGAGAGCGGGTTCCTGATTAACCAATCCAATTTGCTGCCTAAGCCATTTGAGGTCGAGTTCCCTGATGTCGTTCCCATCTAAGAGAATGTGACCAGAAAGGGGTTCATAGAAGCGCTCGATCAATGAGATCACGGTGCTCTTTCCAGACCCACTTCCTCCAACGATGGCAACAATCTTTCCCGACGGTATATCGAGAGAAAGCTTATTGAAGATCACTACATGCGGGCGAGACGGATAACTAAAGCATACATCCTTGAACTGAATGTGGCCCTCCACTTTGTTGAGGATTCGTTGTCGTCCAGTTTGCTGGGAGCTAGCTTTGCTAACTGTGTTCCTTTCGATCATCTTAAAAATGGGGTATGCAGATGCTCTTGCTTGCATGAACGTAGAGATGTTTGGTGCAGCCATTCCAAGAGAGCTGATGAGGAAAAATTCAAGTGAGACTACAACAAATTAATTCAACACGTACACAGCCATGTTGATAAAGAAAGCATTACTTGATTGAGAGGTCAGGGACTAAAACTTACAGGCCAGAAATGACAACGTTGAGCATGGTGGTGAAAGACTCTCCGCCATTAGCTATCTTCTTGTGGACGACAATGCTAGTGAACCATACCAGCAATGCCCACGACAAGAAGAGAACGCAGTGCATTGTTCCAAGCCCCATACCCTTGGCTAGTCCTCCCCTCTTGCCATACTTGTACGTCTTGGCAAGTGCATCCTTGTACATTTTCACAGCCTTCTCCTCTCCCACAAAAGCTTGGACTGTTCGAACATTACCAATCACCTGTGAAAGAAAATATGACCTTAATCAACTTGTGAATCGTGATCACTGATCACAGACAATATATAGCTTGACCTAGATTCAATTGAAGCAATTGAAGAAACCAACCTCTTCTGCGATTTCTCCAGCCTTCACGTACGATTTCCTTACTCTGGCCATAAGACCAATTGCTATATATGCATACAAACCACCAGCAATGGCAATCAGCGGAACTATAGATAAGGTTACAAGGCTGATTTGCCAAACCCGCGCAAATCCTATCGCAAATCCCGCTATGAAACGGCTTATGTAGTGTATGAAATTCCCAACCTGTATCACATTTATAATTAGATTGGTAAATTTGTTTGAATTTTATATATCAGACCATCTGAGAGAGAATTCTGGTTATATAATAATACAAAGACAAACTAGTAGAGGTTAGTAGGGGTATTGAGGTAAGAACAGAAGAAGAAGCAGGTAGGACCGACTGGCCATACCAAAGAAGCAGGTTTTCACCATTTGGGTTTTCCATTTAGGGGCCATAGGAATTGTATTAGACTTGGACATAAGAACGGACTAAGTTTAGATGGGTATTGGGAATGGGCCCATATAACTTCACTGACCCATGTTATAGGAGAGGGGGCAGAGGGTAACCACTGGCCTAATGGGTCCCGTCCCAAGTATAAAAAAATGTTAATTATTAGGGCATTATTTGTCCATCTTCATTTTAAATTTTATAACAATCATTTTGTTTAATGTTTAGTTAACTGCATTGGAATCATAAGCTTTTGATTATAGTCTTGCACTCTTGCGTACCAAACTGATCTACTAAATGGCACACGCGGGAATGGGTCCCATTTCACCAACGTGGACAGGTGGCAAGTTATTGGAATCCAGACCCATCCACGGTGCTATGTATCAGACCAAGATTTAACTTTTATTTTGTTCTTTTTTTTTTCATTGGGATTTCTTTCCTTTTCTTTTATGTACAAAATCTGAATGTCCATATTCTATACATGTTTTTTTGTTTCTTTTTGATAAGTGCGAACATGAAAGTACTTTTGAAAAGCACAACGAGTGGTAGGTCTTGATCATTAAACATGCAAAACTGGCATATTATTGCAGCCGAAGGCCAGAGAGAGAGACGTAGCTTATGCTAAATGTCTTATATGGGCCTTTTTTGAAGGACCCAGTATGTTCGACTGGCCCAAGAGAAAACAGGAAGAGCTTACTTATCAACCGTAAAAAACTCCAATTTTTGGAGAATCATTTTCAACAACTTTCAAGTGCAAACAGACGGAAGTACTAATGCATTAAGGACGAGGCCCATTACCAAATAGCTCATAAAGTGGGTATCCATTAGGCAATCTTAATTGCTCAATACGGACCAGATAAATTCTTGATTGCCCAATGAAAAACCTTCTTGTGAACAGATTTCAATTTGTCCTTTCGCCCATTAACAAAATTTTTCTTTATGTAATGGGCGAAAGGACTACTCAACTTCAATTTGTTCTCTTGTGTCCTCCGACTCCGAGTTTAGATCCAAGCCTCTTCCATCCCAAAAATCATAACTCACTAACTCAGTAGGTATTTGATGAGTATATGAACTTTTTGTTGAAGCCAGGAAAAGCCAGACTACTGCTCATTTCTCAGAACTCAAAGTTCTTTGGAAGATGTAGGGCGGGGGTGACACTGTAAACTACCTCTATAATGCATCTTGATGCACCATAGTATTACCCAAATTTAAATTGAAAGGCATTAAATTCAAGTGGGTTCTTCCACCAAAAAAATTAAGTGGGGTTCATGCAGTCATAACTCAAATTAATAATAGCACCTCCCTTTGCGATGAACCTAATTTTGCACTTCTTTCTGCCATCAGCCATGGAGTAATAAATGTAACTGAAGCTATTTAATTTCCAACTCAAAAAGCAAAAGCAGAAAAAAATAAAAGAGAATAAAAATGAAATGACCAGACAATATGGAATGGAAGCCCTCCAGATCCCCTCTCCCCAAAACTCCCTTCTCCTAACCGACCAATTCACCTTAAAAAAATCAATTATTTAGAAATAATTCCCGCTATAATCAATTCAAATTTCCATATCTGCTCAATCCATGAGATCCATGGTCCTCTTACTGGTTTGTATAAATCAAACAGTAATTATGCATCATCCCATCTTCTAATCTAATCATGGCTTCCAACACAGATTTCCGGTTTGAATTTAACAATAAAAGGACCACAAACAACAATATTCGTACCTTCTCAGATATAGCATCTTGAACAACTATAACATCGCTTGTAATCGCAGCGATCACCTCTGCCGTCGAAGCTTCAGTGTCGAAAAGACTTATGTCCTGGTTCAGCATTGCTCTCAAGTAAGCCAGCCTCATCTTCGCCGCTTGTCTCTCTCCGGTGTGCATCCAACAACCAACCTCTGTAAATAAGCTCAAACACATCATAAGCTGCACTCTCACATAAACATAAATAACTATGAAATTAAAGAGAAGAATTGGGCAACGGTACCTATCCAAGACGAGAACAACATAACGATGCTTAGGTAAACAAAATCCAAAGAATACTGCTCAAAACATTGCAAGAACAATTAATTAATTAATGGCCATTAGCTTGAAATGATGGAGAAGTAGTGAAGGCTCAAGGTAGAAGTCATGGCGATATATACCTTTCCGACCTTATGGGACACCAACTCGGGAAAGAGGTAGCCGATACCGATGATATTTATTAATTTTCCGAAAAAAATAAAGAATACGGGCACGGAAGCACCATGAACACACGCACCAACAGAACCGAGGAACATTAAGACGTAATCCCAGAAATCGGCGAAGGAGAAAAGCTTGCTGAAGGGAACTTTCTGGGGTTTCTTTTCATCTTTTTCGTCTTTCTTCTCTTCTTTGACATGGGTGGGCAAAGGTGCTCGGAAGCTCATTTTGGCCAAGAAAGTGGCCGAGAAAGAAGAGAGACGACACTGGTAGTGGAGGAAGCTAGCTAAAGTGCGGCCGAAGCTATCGGGCTTTGAAGCTTGGAGAGAGACGAAGCTATTTAGTAAGACTTAACTACCAAGTTAATCGATTTGGGAGCTATCTTAACTTTTATCTTGCAACTTCTGTTTATGAACATGGAGATGGAGTTCATACTAACCTTTGGAATCATGACTGTATTCGAGAAAATGTATCACGAGATATTGGACTCTCGCTCTCTCTACCTTTATATAAATAAAGGGTAAATTCTATTTCAGTACCCTTAACTTTGGCGGTAGTGGCAATTTCGTACCTGAACTTTGAAACATGTCACTGCACTACTTAAACTTTTAAAAACTGTCAAATTGGTCCTTTTGTTAACAAACAGTCATTTATCTGTTGAAAATGTTAAAACTGCCCTTTAAGAAAAGACATTGTTTATTGTTTTCTACTTTGAAACTGAGCAGTTGAGGTGTTTGAGATTTTAGACTGGGTACAAGTCATGAGATTAACCTTGAAGCACAATAGCAATACTGAAAAAAATAATAATAAATAAAAACAATAACAACACATGTCAAGTTGGTCCATGTCATTAACTAACCTAACCGTCAGTTAATGTCATGAGTTGGTACCCAATCCAGAATCTCAAACACCTCAACTGGTTTAGTCTCGGTAGAAGACAATGAGCAGTGTCTTCTTTTGAAGGACAGTTTTGACATTTTCAACAAATAATTGATGATTAACGACAATGACCAATTTGACACTTTTTAAAAGTTTAAGTACTACAGTGATACATTTAAAAGTTTGGGAACTAACTTGATACTACCCCCAAAATTTAGGGTACTAAAATGGAATTTACCCAAACATAAATAGTCAAAACATGAAAGTTTTGGCTGAAATCCATCCAGGATGCCATAGGATGACAGTTTTTTCGGTCCTCGATGTACCCAAATTCCCCAACCCCGTCGTGAGGAGTGAATTTCCCAATCCAACCATAATTATATATTAAATATATATATATATATAATATTATTTATATTAAATATATTTAAAATAACTTTATATTTCAAATTTTTATTTGAAGTAAAATTGTTTTTAAAAATTTTGAAAATTTAATTTCCAATTTTAAACCCTATCTCCATCAGAAATCAGGGATGGAGGGTATTTTTATCCCAATGAAGATTGGGGTCAGTAACCAGAATTTATTTTAAAGTTATCGGTGGAATCATGCAATAAAATTTCACCAACATTTAGCATATCATGAATATATGAATCTCAGGAAAAAACATCCTCTGTCATGTCCATTTAAATAGTAGATTCCACATGTTCTATTTACTAGTAGTATGGTTCCTACAACAAACACGTAGCTAGTATTATATTCCATTTTATCTAGAAGCTGCACTTCAGCTGTTGATCCTAACCTTCTTCCAAAGAAAAACAGTACATGGACATAGGCACTAGTGAAGTTGCGTGAGACTGAAACGATTTTCATGTGGATTTAAAATGGATATTAACTGATTGTGAATAATTTTTGCAAACGCTATCTTTTCAGTTAATTTTCTGGTTCTCTTGAGATTGGACTCATTTATCAAATTCAGACAATTAAAACGACAGGAGTTAATGGACCGGTTTTGGATTGGATCCCCTCTAAATTTAAATTATTTGGATGGATTGTACAGACCAATAAGACATATTAAATTGGATCAGTCCAAAGGTTTATTGGTTCAAAATATTTATTGGATTGGATAAGATTGAATCAATATTTGACCCATTGATAGAAGATAAGAATACAGGTATTAATGGACCAGGTTTAGACTGGAATAAATCTAAATTAAAATCAATTTGAGTAGATTGGACAGTCCAAACATTAAATTGGACCAGTCCTAAATAATCCAAAATATTCATTGGATTGGATTGGACCTACTCCATTTGTAATGGACTCATACCGGACTGGACTGGATTGGATCAATTCTGATACAATTGACACCCCTATCCACAATTATAATAAAACAGGTTGGTTTTGTTTGCTTGTTCCTTTGTTTTTGGAAACGCCACAGAAATATATATATGTTGAACTTTGTTTTTGTTTTCAAATAGAAAAACAAGTTGGTTTTATTTATAAAACAATACAATAACAAAATATTGGTTTTTAAAATAAAAAAAAAACAACTTTTTAGTATAGAAATTATATGATTTATAAAGCATGATTTTGAATAATCAGATGAAAATATGTTTTTGAAATAAGATTCAAAAACTTGTTTTTTGTTTTGGTTTTGAAAACCAAAAACGTAAACATATACACAACCGAAAACATGTTTTTGTATTTTTCCTTTTAGAAGGAATCAGTGTTTCAAACAAAATGGTTTTGACTTATTTTTGAAACCCACAAAAAAAATAACAATTCACGTTATAGGACGCCCCCTAAATCAATGAGTATACCTTGTGTTCTGAAAACCCAGATTGGACCAGTTGGATGAGCCAAAACTGGGAAATGGATGATTGGGCCTATCTGATACAACCAAATCAACTGAATTGATTATATTGGTTTTAATTCTTTGTTAAGACGTGATTATAACGGGTCGGATTCGATTTTTTATTGTTCCAAACAGATTAAGACCTGAACTGATTATGTAGGGTTTGTTTTACAACATGAATGTTTCTGTTTTTATTTGTTTTTTTGAATCGTTACATCAGCAAGAAAACAAAATCATGTTTTTGAATTCTGTTTTTTATTTTCAAAAGGAAAAATAAGTTGATTTTGTTTAAAAAAGACAATACATGTTTTTTGAACCAACAAAATATTGCTTTTTAAAATAAAACAAATTTGCTAATGTAGAAATTGTATGATTAATGGAATATATTATTGAATAATCAGATGAAAACATATTTTTGAAACCAGATTTAAGAAATGATTTTGATTTCACTTTTGAAAACAAAAAACACATGCATAACCAAGAACACGTTTCTTATGTTTTTATTTTAAGAAATAATGTATTTTCAAACAAGATGGTTTTGATTTACTTTTGTAACCTGAATCAAGAAAAACAATTGACGTCCTAAAACGCCCCAATAATTAGAAGTTCTTTTGGTTTTCTGTACTTTCTGTTAAATTTTTATGTTTAACAGGGAAACTTTTACCGATAGTGGATAAGATAACTTTGATTAAAAGCACTTATTTTATCAATATTTACTATCATCATTTTTTTTTCTGTTGAGGATAGGTTAGTGTTACATCCAAGTTGTTATGTCAAATATAACTGGGTTAGCTAATTGAGTCAGGTCCGATTATCTTGATTAAAAATTGGTTCGATTATGGATTTATTTTATAAAACCAATTAATTAATAATTGGTCTGGGCCTAATCCATTACCCATCTTATTCCGAACCAGTCGCTACCCATTTACCGCACTAGGTTTTGGATGGGGCAAACCACCTATCTAATTCAATACGGAATTGCCGAATTAGACTTTCTGGTTAATTTGAACTCCAATAACCAACCTTCCAGTTTTTTTGTCTGGATAGATATGATCGTACAAATAAGGATTCAGTTGGAATCCCAATTTTGGAACAAAAGAAAAAGCAATTGTTTGGCATTGTCAAAACGCAGCCTTAGCTTTTATAGGCAAGACTCAAAAACCATTACATTCTAAAAATTGGTGAAGCAAGAAAAGTAGTTGGGAGCCCCCCAATTCTAAAATTTGAAAATGTTCCTCTGGAAAAGATGATGATAGGGGGACTCCAAATTTGCTCTTCCTCAAAGAAGAAGAAGAAGAAGAAGAAAGCAGATTATCATATGAAAAATACATATATAAATTTGGCACAAGCTCATATTAAAGAAATTATATATGTTGGACATTTTGGTAAACAGAGAAACTACAAGTTTTTTTTAAAAAAAAAAAAAAAATCGATCATAGACTAAGCAAAGGGTGGTTTTTGTGTTGCCACGTCAGTCAAAAGAAAGGGGAGGTTATAGTTCTTTCTGACAGGTAAGATACATAAGAGAAGAGGTTGTAGAATTTGTACAAACTTTCATTCTGTCCATAAAAAAAAAAAAAAAAAAAACACAACAGTATGCATGCGGCATATTCCATCTTAATTAATTATCATCCAAATGTTGTAAATCCTTTTGGAAGACAGAAAGACAGAAGATAGGTGCTAATTGTTCTCCAATGACAAATGACTAATTTGGGTTTCATCAGTTTTTCAAAATATCGGGGGATGATATCTTTAAACTCCGGCGAGATGAGAAAATGAGAAATAATTAATAAACTGGTGAGAGACGGTTGAGAAGACGAAAGTTGGACACTAGAACGACGGTAGAGTGAATGCGGACAGCACAGCAGCGTTGATGACGGCATTAATTAAAGGTAAAGCAGCTTGGTAGGCATCGTTTGGCTCCCCAGTCCCCACCCCACCCGTGACTGACTGACTGTGCCGTCCATCCCGCCGGCTGGGGTCTGATCGGTTTAATTAACGGCTTCGCCACGCCACCTAGCTAGACGATTACAACTCCATCAACAACCAAACAGCTGGTGAGCTTACTGATACGATGGTATGCCAGGTGTTAATTGAATACGTGAAATTGATAGTAACCTTATTGAATGCTGTATCCAAATGTCACCATATGAAGATAGATCGCTACTATTGTATCATTTATCATTTTACGACTAACACCATCTAATTATCCATTAATTAAGAGAACTGATCTTTCATATTGATCATTTTCAAAAATTTAAAATTAAAATAATTAAAACTAAAAATTAATTATTTATAAATAGAGGCAATGCTTTTTATTTTTTTACTCAAATGACCAAAAGGAATTATTGGAACATATATTAAGGTTCCAAATGTGATGGGAATGGTATGAACTATGAAGTATGAACATTGACTTGGAAAGTTTCATACCTTTGAAACATTTACTTAATAACAATAACTATTAAAACAGTTGGTAGTTTTTTTCCAATTCATATTGGTTTGGTTGATAATGTTGACCATTAATGTTTGACGAATTCTGTATAAAAGTGCAGCGATCCACCCTTCACTCTAGGGAGAAATTGGATCGATAGCACAAAGTACACGCTGTACTTCAAACTTCAAAGCGTGTTATATAAGATTATTTTTCGGTGGAATGTTATATAGCATATATACTATTGGAGTTGCCTGCTAGGCTGCTACCACCATGTAGTTAAATGAGGAAGAAG